ACAGAGACGGAGCAGTGATGGTGTGGGGGGGTGTTTGTGTTGCAGGCTGGCAGCCCTGATTAAAGACTACTGTGGCTCCCTGTCGGAGAAGTCAGTCAGGATGAACTTCGCCCTGATATATGAGCTCCTAGACGAGATGCTGGTGAGGAGATAGGGTTAAACACACACTACACAGAGAGCGCACAAAGACACACAGAATGATTTTTTTACCAAGAATTGACAGTCTTACTCTTTAACTGGACAGTCTCGAGAGCAGGGCGCAGAACTGTCTGTTTGGCTGGGATTCATTCTGTTTCCAGCTGAATTTATCCTCCCTGGTCTTCACCAACTGGGTTTGAGAGTTTTCACTGTTGTTGTGTCACAGTTGTTATGCAGTTGTTGATCCTGCATAAGAAAGACTTTTGCCTTTATCACGCTTAGTATAGATAACTGTGGTTGCTGTGTGTGTGGTATGACTTTCTCTTTTTGCCCCTGGCTTTTAGGACTACGGGTATATCCAGACCTCCTCCACCGACATCCTGAAGAACTTCATTCAGACAGAGGCTGTCAGTGCCAAGCCATTCAGCCTGTTCGACCTCAGCAACGTGGGGCTGGTACAGCATCACCTTTGGTCCCACACTCTCCGTCTCTGTCTCCTCTCATTCTCCCTTTGTTTGCCTGTCTCACTTTCCCTGTCTCTCTCTTGTATGTTACTCCCTCTCCCTGTCTGCCTGTCTCACTGTCTCCCCTGTCTCACTGTTACTCCCTCTCCCTGTCTGCCTGTCTTACTCTCTCCCCTGTCTCACTGTTACTCCCTCTCCCTGTCTGCCTGTCTCACTCTCTCCCCTGTCTCACTGTTACTCCCTCTCCCTGTCTGCCTGTCTCACTCTCTCCCGTCTCACTGTTACTCCCTCTCCCTGTCTGCCTGTCTCACTCTCTCTCCTGTCTCACTGTCTCTCTCTCCAGTTTGGTGCGGACACTCAGCAGAGTAAGGTTGCTCCCAGTGCTGCAGCCAGCCGGCCCATACTGACCACCAGGGGAGAGCAGGTTAGTCGCACCAAGCTGTCGAGGCACCGTGTCAACATGTCAGTCCGTCCAGCCAGCCGGCGCATCAGTCAGGCTGGTTGTTATTCTCCCGTTTCTCTCTCTCCAGGGAGGGAAGGACGAGATCTTCGTGGACGTGATCGAAAGACTGACAGTTATCATCGGGTCAAACGTGAGCTGCCCGTCTTGAAAACGACTGAACATTTTTGCTCTCTCTTCTGTACAGAATAGACACTGTGTCCCCTGTCCCTCTGTCTCTCCCAGGGGGTGCTGATGAAGGCAGACATACAGGGAGAGATCAGGGTGAAGAGTTTCTTGCCCTCCTGCTCAGGTGAGACTCCTAACCCCCTACCACTGTGCTCTAACTCCTGCAGTGATCATGTGTGCGTGGCCAGAGCTGTGTGTTTATAACAGCAGCTGTAATGAAAGCCAGTCGCTGTGGTTGCTGACCAGATTCATGGCCCTACTATTGTTGCTGAATGTGCTGTAATAGACACTCCTGTCCTGTCCCTGCTGCTGCCCGGGTTCTGCCACTGCTCAGACGTCTCATGTCTCCTTCTCTCCCCCGTGCAGAGATGCGCATCGGCCTCAACGAGGAGTTTAGTATTGGGAAGTCCCAGCTGCGTGGTGAGTGTACCCTGCTCTTCCCCGTTGGAGGTGGGCGTGTCAGGGCTGGAGGCCAGCCCGTCTCAAGCTGGTCCCAGGTAGAGCAGTAATAGCAGCTCTTCCAGCCACAACCTTAAAAGCAGCACACTGGTTTTCTTTAGAGACCCACTCTTCTGAGCTTGACTCATGCTCCTTTCTCTCTAGCCTGCCTCTCACTCTGACCTTGACTTGCTGTCCTGTCTCTTGCCTCTCTCACTCGGAGCTCGACTCGTTCTCCTGTCTCTCTCTTGCTGGGCCCTTGACTAGATCTCCCCTCTTGCTCGCAGGGTATGGAGCAGCAGTGCGTGTGGATGAGTGCAGTTTCCACGAGTCCGTCAAGCTGGACGAGTTCGACAGCTACAGGATTCTGAAAGTCACCCCTAGCCAGGGAGAGGTACTGCGAGACACATGCACACACAAAGTTGGACACTGGGAACAGGACAGGATCCAGACAGCCCAAACACGCAACCTCCCAACACAACATAGAGTAACCAGATACATTCTGGGGTTTAAGGGAATATACAGACAAGCTGAAGGAACAAAGATTGAGGAGACCTATATCCACCTCCTCAGAGGCTTTGATAAAGTCAAACCAGTGGACTGAATGAATACTGAAATATAAACCTCAGGACACAAGTGGAAACTATATGTGGAAATGCTCTTAACATCGAGAACTGGAGGCACTTTTTTTACACAGCTTCTCTCCCTGTCTGTGTGTCTCATGGAGAACAAGTTGGGGTATGCGAAAAGACAAATTCCTAAAACAAGAAATTGTATATGGCCAATAAAGTGATCTTATCTTATGTTGTTGAAGCCGATACCCTGGTGTTTGTCTGGGATCAGTGAACTGCTGCAACAGAGCAGAGGGATCTGGGTGTGTTGAGCTTTTGTCAGACTGCTGAGAGCAGCATATGAACACTCCAAAATTGAAAATAAATCTAGACACAATTATTAGAGAAATGGGCTTTACCTGCAGTGTGGTGTTTCTCTCCTCAGAGCACTGAGCAGGACAGAGGTAGTCTCAGGTGAGACACACACTAAGGTTATACTGAGAGCCTGAAACATCTAATCAGATATTACAGGGGACTTGATACCCCTATTGGTTGTTGTGTCACCACACTGGATTGGTCCACTCTCTCCAGGTCTACTGGCCCCAAGGGAAGGATCTGCTATGGGCTGGATGGGCTGAGCCACCCCTCTCGTTTATAATGCGTTTGCTCTGTTTCTCTAACCACAGCAAACAGTGATGCAGTACCAGCTGTGTGACGACCTGCCCTCCTCACCCCCCTTCAGGCTCTTCCCCACGTTGGAGAGAGACCCCAGCGGCAGGTACGCATCCTCTTTTAGCGGACATTATATCTTGTGCCCCTTGGAGTAGATAAGTGGCCTCTTGGAGAAAACTCTGCATTGCTCGCTGCCCCCTGGTCATCATTGCCTGGCCATAGATACCGCCACAGCTCCTAGCTCACCAGTGACAGACAGTGGAGGAGATCCACGTCCTGTTGAGAATGGTCATCATTCATACGTGATATAAATGTGTACCAGGTGACGTGTGACAGAAAGCAGAGAAACCACTGGCAGGTTTAACTCCATGTCTGCATTAGAGGAATAAGCCTCAGTTCTATTACGTACAAGGTTATGATTAAGGAAGCAATAATTACAACTAGAGGATTAATAATGTTGCAGTAAGATTGCAAGAAGTAGTGCCCTTCTTAAGTACTGTGGAAGTGAAGTTGAAATGGCTGTTTTTGTTGTATAAAGTAACTCAGATTTAAGATGAAAAAATGAATATTGTGGTGCAGAATGTCTCCTTTAGGTTTCTGTGCATACATGTTTTCATATTTTAGATTATTACCATTTTTGTGTTCCATTAATTAGTTAACTAATTGGCAGACTACCTCAGGGATCTGCATGGAGAACACTGTTGTTCCCAAGAACAGAGCTGTCTGGATTAGCTAAAAAAACAGTTCATGTTTGTAGACAATTTACCCAACTACAAGATTTAGCAAACACTGGTAGCTGCTCAAGATCTTCAAAAGGATTTGAATCAAATTCTGGATGGAAAAGGCACATACCTGTCACGTAACACTGAATGTAGACACACCAGTAGCAAAAACACAGCCTACGGCTGTGAAACAGGAAATGCTAGACTAGAAGAGGCAACTGAAATCCTACAGGCTACATCAGAAATATCAGGCTCACCTGCTAATTAATGCCTCTGATAGAGCAGGTCTGGTGCCACTGCCATGCAGAAGAGAGAGCACAGGTCCAGCAGGGATGAAACGGTCAATTGATTATCCAAGTTGTTTTTGAACCCTTCTCTTTTTGGAATCGGCATTTTCAATGTATCTTGACTCAAGGCTACCCCAAATATCCCTTTTATTGGAGTTTGGTGGGAGGGGCATTTAAGGCTGCTCTGCACAGGGGTTGCTTTTGAGCAGCAAACCCCAACTACCTACGACCCGATCTTGCCGATTTAGCCAATTGTGCATCAGCCGATCACACTTAGGTAATGACAGACTGGAAGCAGTGTGCCTAGGACCAAGATGGACTCTGGTTTAAGACCTCAGTTTAGAGGTGGCTCCCAGTTCAAATAGACAAGCTTGTAGGACTCATGTATCCTGTCTCTCTCTTTACAGACTGCTAATTTACCTCAAGCTCAGATGTGATCTGCCTCCGAAGAGGTGAGTGTCCATGTGTCCCTCTGCTGTAATCTGCTGTATCGGTAAACCCACACACTAGTCCTGCTGCAGCTGTCCGCTTACAGGTCCCATGGAGAAACACTCCTGCACTCCAAATTCCTGCAGGAATTCCTGCAATAAGGGCTTGTTAAAGACAAAGCACTGCTAAATGATCCCCAAGAAACAGAATGAACCTCGCTGAAGTGCTGGCAAACCCCACCTTGAAGTGAACAAGCCTGAAGAAGGCTGCTCCCAGTCTGAGCGACGCCTGCAGACACTGTGTTCCAGGAGACGTGCGTGGAAGACCACGTCAGGGAGGCGCGTCGCTCGATCCGTCACTGCCAGTGGCAGAGGCCAGTGTGTCCCACGGGGGACAGGACAGCACGTGGCTCTGGTCTCTCTCGCTCTGTGGCGGGCCACTTTCCCTTGTCCACCATTCCTTTGCTGTGTTCTGGGATGACCAGCCCCAGTTCACTCACAGTTGGTCTCAAGCTATTGTGCCCCCAGCAAACTCTGCGTGACTGCTGCCAAGTAACCGTGGGCTCAGCACCCCCTTTCTCAGCTGGAGTTAACAGTGAGGGAACCCGTTCCTGGCGGGATGTACTATACACTGAGGACTGCACGGTTTCCCTGAAGATGCGTCTCGGGCCGCGCCGCGTGTTTGTGACTCAACACTGCTGGTGCTGCTGCGATCTTGTGTGGCAAAGCGCAGGCAGCGCGTGGAGACTGGGGGAGAGCTGGTGTGCTGTGCCGTTACTGTACCAGTTCAAAAAGGCTGGAAGCACACTGAAGCAGTGTTCCTCTGTGATTTTTCAGCGCAGCCCTCGGCGTGGTGGTCACTGTGCCTGTGCCCAAAGGCTCTCTGAGGTAAGAATCCCTCCCTTGTCTCCCTGTCCTATCTCCTCTCTTCTTCCTGCTCCACCCCTCTCTCCTGATGCTCTCTCTCCCAGCCTGTCCCAGGAGCTCAGCAGTCCCGACCAGAGTGCCGAACTGCAGCTGAGCAAGAAGGCTGTGGTCTGGGAGATCCCCCGCTTCCCCGGGGGGACACAGCTGTCTGCAGTGTTCAAGGTGAGAGGGGTGGTGCTGGGTAGGGGGCTGCTCTGCATTTTCTTGCTGTTCTTGAGAGCCAGACTTAATGTCTTGAACAGTATTGAAAACCCTAAAAGGAACAGGCCAACTTCAACCCAGGGGCCATCCTTAAGCCCAGTGGTGACGGGGACACAGGTACATGAGTGGAAACAGTTTTGGACCTTTTAAGGACACAAAATATGAGGCACTTGTTAACACAAAGTGCTGTGGAGGTGTGGATCAAGCTGTTGAGGGTCACTATGCAAGATCCTGTAGGAAGAGACTTGATGGTATTGTAGAATAGATGTTTGGGATGCAAGCGTTTTGGACTTGTACCATGATCATGCGGAATCAGGGTCCTGACTGCCTTTAGGGGTTTGTTGACTCGGGCCTCCCTCCATCCCTCCTCTGTTCAGCTGGGGCTGCACTTGTGCATCTATTGGGGACGAGAAGGTCCTGTCCTGAATGTGGAAAGTTCTTCGTGATCTCCTGGGATGGTTAAGCTCCTAGTGACCAAACACTCTGTGCTCTTCCCTCTCAGCTGGAAGTGCCAGGCCTGAGCCCCGCCTCGCTGCAGGAAGTAGGTCCGGTCAGCCTGTCCTTCGAGCTGCCGAAGCACACCTGCACCGGCCTGCAGATCCGCTTCCTCCGCCTGTCCCGCGGCGCGCCCTCCCTGCCTCAGCGCTGGGTCCGCTATGTGACGCACTCCGACTCCTACACCATCCGCCTGTGAGCCTGGGGACCAGCCTGCCGCACGGGGGCTCGTCTTCTCCTTCAGAGCGGGCTGTCCGAGCGAGCGAGGGCACGTGCCAAGAGGCGGAGGGGGCAGCGGCAGCACATGGATTTGAATGCGGTCAGACCACTGCAAGACGCGAGGCTCCAGGCACCCCTGCAGGCCAACCTGGTCATCCTTCTCTTCCAGCTGCTGTCCAGACACTTTCTTGCACAGGGTTACAGAATATTCTTCAGGAACTCCCCACGCACCCCTTGGAACAAACCTTTATAGAAGCAGGTGCTATCATTGTCTATGACAGCCTGGAGAACAACCCCACTGAAGAGGACAGGGACAGCTGAAGGGATGCTGCAGTCTTCCTCTGGAAGCAGAGTGACAGCAGGCGGTGGGTGTCTAATACTAGTGGGAGTAGCTGGAACCGGGAATTCACCAGTAAATACACTGCAGCAGGCCTTTCACCTCACTCTGTGGATGGACAGAACTTCATCTTTTTCATTTGTAATTACTGTAGTATCCAGTGTTCTAAGAGGTAACTCTGAGTCCAGTTGTTTTTCCTTTGCTATAAAGGAGAGGGTAACCGGAAACCCGCTAATGATCACAGTTGGGCATCACGGGAGCAGACGGTTGGCCCTAATGAAGCCGGCTGCCAGGGGGAAAACTGTTGTGTGATGGGCATGGTCACGATTCCCCCAGTTATGTCTACTGCTCCAGTCAGAAACGAAGGACACAGGGCTGGAAAGACCAGATAAAGTCATCAGACAAATAGACATTCTGCACCTGGGTGACATTCTCCCATAGAATTTAAGAACCTTAACACTTCCTGTAATCAACGGGAGAGGTAAAGGATGCCTTGTGAAGTCACACATGAATGCCTACTGAGGTATATTATTCCAAACAAGTGAAGTGGCCTACCTCTTCTGAACTGTATGAAATGAAATTATAGTATATATATTGTACAATAAAAGCATAAACATGACATTTGCTTAAGGTAAATAAAAATTAAACACCTCAAATGTCGAAAGCTGAGAATACTCATTCCTAATGCAGCTTATCCAGAATTTTGTCCATTTCTGCCACTGTTGTAACCTTGAGTCATCTTCTTTATAACAGCATTCAGGTGCCTTGTGCTGTGATGCCACACTGCTCTGTAAGGGTCATAATCAAAGCTACAACAAATAGTGAGAACTAGTTGAAAAAGGTAAAAATTTCACTAAGCTTCCTCTGGTAATTCGTGAACATAAGACAAAGGAAGGTTTGTGGCATGAAGACATTAGAAGGACAGAGTGCCTTAAAAATAGCGGATTTGAGCAGATCCCAGCCTCAAGAGCAGGATTCCTGCCATTGGTATTTTTCGTTTACAAGCAATTAAACTTTATCTGAATAATGAGCACAGGGATGTTCCTCAGCAGAGGAATGAACCCACCCACTCCTGGTGTGGAATAAGTGTTTCTCCAGCTGGAGAAGTGGGTGAAGGACTGGACTGGCGAGGCTCACTCCTCCCTAGAGACCCGCCTGTGCTGGGCTCTTGCCCATGTCGCATCAGGATTGTTCAGATCACAACTGTCGCTCTGCCTTTAAAACCCCTTTAAAAAGCTTGGAACCACCTGACACTGCAGAGTCACTCAACAGCAAAATCGATTTACCTCAGAAATGAAGTTTATTGTGAAGAACACCAAAGAACCTGAGATTTCTAACTTCCAACAACAAAATCCCTTCAAAACCCACTGGTGACTCTTGCCCCTGTGACGCATAATAACATCCTCCCTTTAAAACACCATGCTCTGCTTTTTTTACACCCCACTGTGAACAGCACACCCCCGAATCACCAAGAACACTGCAGTGGGAGGGATTTCCAATCCCAACAGGAACAAACACAAATCCAACGACAGTGAACAACAACTCTGACACAGCAGGGTGCTCTCCCCCACGTCAGAACCACAAAGGGCCTTCTCTCGAGTCCCGGGCCGAGGACTGGGTGCCGATTCAGACCCTAGCCGCTGTTTGTCTTGAAAAGGGAGGCCTGTGTGATTACGGAAGTTGCACACTGGAGCTGGTCTGTTGTCAGTGAATCTACACTGATCAGACTGGTCTCGGTTGTTTTGAAGCGCAACTAAGTGCTTCACTCTTTCTGAAGCCCTTAAGCAGATGTGCTGGAACCTGATGCCTCTTGACGTTGAGCGCGGGATCTTCCTCTTGCAGAACCTTTTCAGACTTCCCGTGAACTAATTACACGCCTGGCTGGAGCAGCCTGGCCTATGCACTGGGTGTTCTTCAGTGTAGCTGGTGTTGCTGGGGCAGGGATGCTCCATCAGTTCAGCCACACCTCTCCTTCAGGGAGCTGCAGAAACACAATGTGTGTCAGCTCCCAGGTCTGCACCCGCATGCGCTGTGAAGCAGCTTCTGAAGAGTGTTTGAAGTGACATGTTGTGCTCTGTTGTGTGCCAGTAGCATGCTGTTGAGTCCAAGAGTGCACCTAGGGTCATGCTATGCTCTTCAGGCAAAGTCTTTCTAAATTTTACTGTTTCACACTACCTCAGACGTCACATCTACCCAATTTGGAATTGCGTAGTGCCGCCACACTGCAGACTCTAGCACGAGCCCCTCAGTCGCAGACGCTCGCTAGACGCCGACAACCTGCATCTACCTGAATAGATGGGTATCTGGACTGGTGATTGCTGCTCGAACAAGTATAAGCAAATATTTTCAGTGCAGTTAAAAAAATCTAGACTTCTCTTCCTTACTTGGTGGAGGACTACACACCCTCAACACAGCTGGACCAGGAACTAACGCTTGACTCAAGGACTTTACTTTCACCAAACACATAAAGGGTTAGGAAGAGGAGGTCTAGAATACACCATCATGACTGATATTTTTCATGCAGTAATGTATAACTATTAGTTGCACAAGGCAGGAGGAGATAGAGGAGAGTTTGACGTTTTAATCAACTTTTAACCCTTCTCAATTCAAAATATTCTGAACCTACAGAAATATTTCTGGAATGTAATGTGGAGGACCCACCCGTTCAGTTCCTGATGAAGCACATCTATGAACTGGCTTCATCACCCTTTTCTCCTCCCCACTGAGAGCTGGTGTGTGGGGAGCGTACTGGTTCACTATGGCTGCTGTCTCATCATCCAGGTGCGGCAGCATATTAATAATAATAATAATAATAATAATAATAATTGCTTACACTTATATAGCGCTTTTCTGGACACCCCACTCCACATTAGTAATGGTGGAGGGGAACACCCATTGCCTGTAAAGCACTGTGAGTGAAGTGTCCAAAAAAGCGCTATATAAGTGGGTTTGGGCTAGCGCAGAGTCAAGGAAAGGTGGCACAGCTTGTTGGTCAGGCAGAGTGCATGCTGCAGGATGAAAACGCAGAGCTACACTGCGTGGGAAAAGCACCGTGGCTGCGATCCGAAACGGGAGGCTTTAATGAGCGTGTGACTATGTCTTACCCTCGCGCCCAGGAGCTCTCAGTCAAACAGGTCCTCCAGGAAACCGCCTGAGTGCTGGTATCGGGTGGAGGGCTGGAGAGAGGGCGGTGAATATTATTAGATTAGATAATTAAGCTCTAAGTTAGAAAGGGTGTTTTCAACATGTTTGACCAAAAGATAAAACTGACAGGTAAAGTTATAGAAGGGCAGTGGGGCTTTGTTTTCCAGGAACACTGCAAGGTACAGGGCTGTTCATGAGGGGTGGGCACGAGAGAAAAGTGGACTGTAAAGGAGAGGCTGACCAGGTGTAGAGGAGACGTGCCCCCTGACCCCTCATCATCATCAATCTCCAACTCCTCTTGGTTGTCATCCTCATCCTCTTCAATCAGACTGAGTCTGGGAGAGACAAGATGACACTGACACTCAGGAAAGCACATGAGGTACTGAGTGACATGCTTGATATGCTTAGTGTGATCTGAACTGCACAAGACTAGAACTGCTGCAAGTCAGATTCCAGCTTGATCTCAAGACTGTTCTACTATGAGCTTTTTCTGCCTACATGTCAATACTATGGAATAAACAGACTCAGTATAACTGCTTTTCAGAAACAAGCCATGTACAACTTGGGTTTTAATCAGCTGTGAGCTATTCTTGCAAATCCTTCCGTTCAGAGGTCTTTAACATGGCCAGTCTGCCAGCTGAAGAACAGGAAGCTGTCAGTGCAGCTCCAGCACTCACAGGTGCAGCTGGGAGTCCAGGTCTCTGCTGCGGCCGGAGGTAGGTGTGGGCGTGGGGTTGGGCAGAGCTCTGGTTTTGGTTGGAGTGGGGAAAGCAGCCTGTTTCCGGGACACACTGCGCACAGGCGGGCTGACAGGAGAGACAGAGGCACATCAGCACATCAGAGACACGCAGGTCTCAGCCAGAGGGCTGGGAGAAGCTTAAGGAAACTGCCTGTCTGCCTTGTGTGCTGCAGCTTTTTAACCCGTTTGTTTTATTGGAGATCTTGATTGTTCTGCCTCATTCAGGACTCCCTGTGAAATTCAAACTCTTTTCAGTTCCCAGCAAACCTCCCACATCGGTCAGTGTTGATTAAACCTTATTTAAAACCAAGACCAAGAGGTACGTCTTTACTCAAAGGGTGGTGGGAGTATTAAACAAGCTGTGCAGATATGTGAATGAAACTGAAACAATCTCTTTCAAGAAATGGCTGGATGAGATACTAATAGGCAGAGGGGCCGAGTGGCCTGCTCTCATTCTGGTCTCCCGCCTCCCCCTCTCACTGTGAAACTCATCCCACCTATTCCTCTGACTCCCCCACTTTGTCCGATGCCCTTGTATGTGTACAGGGTACAGTTTGAGGAGAGCTGTGCTGGCCCACAGCAGCAGGTCTCCACCAGTGCAGGCAAGGCATGTTCAGATGTTACTGATAGAGATTATAGGAGCAGTTGTACTGCACACAACAGTCACAAGGAGTTCTGCCGATGAGAAAGGCCCCCTTCTTAAAGAACGGACAGTGTTTTCCCGGTGTGTTGAAATAACCTCTTACCCTGCACCAGCTGAGGACAGCCAGGAGAGTGCCCACTGTACCTGTTGGTGAAGTCTGCCTCTGAACCCCTCTCCGAACTGGCTCTGTCCCTGTCAGGCAGGGTCCTGTAGACCTCGCTCTCCCTGTCAGATGGTGCCTGGGGCGCCTTCTTCAGCACAGTGGAGGTTAAGGGTGGGGTCTGAAGTTTGCTGTGGAAACTGCTGCTTTGGTCCAGCCATGCGGTCTCCTTGACGCTGGGAGAAGAGGCTGAGAGGGAAAACATAAATTCATGTTTTTAAAGCTAATAGCCCCCACCCAGTGTAAATCAGTACCCCACAGCACTCCTGTAACGCAAGCCCTCTGTGGCTCCACCTCCCCCCCGTCCCCTGACCCGCAGTGGCTCTCTTCCTCCTGGGCCTGCTGGCAGGTGTGCGTGGAGAGGTTCTGCTGACAGAGGACCGCTTGTCCCAGCCGCCAGCCTCCTTCTCCCCAGTCTGCAGGGAGCGCTGGTACATGACCATGGGAGGCCAGAACCGGGAGGATGTGGAGGTTGAGGAAGTCATGCGCTGCAGAAAGTTAGCCCTGGGTGCCAAGAGGGAAAGCGAGAAAGGGGTGAGAAAGTAGTCAATTAACCTAGCAGATGCCTGCATCTGTCAGTACGTGAGTGTACGTCAAGGAGCTCCTCATCCGTGTGTGTGTGGACTGGATGTGTGAGCAATGTCCTTTTTGCACTGACTCACAGTAGAGCCCGGTCCTGCTTGATCAGTTTGAAAGAGAACTCGGACAGAATCTCCAGGAAGTGCAGGTTCTCGGGAGGTCTGTCGCCCACACCCAAGTCCCTAAAGGCAAACCGGATGCCATCCCTGCAACAGACAGAACATGCTGGATCATCGGATTTGAAGAAACACATAGCTGAAAATAATCTAATATGCCGTTTTCAGTCTTGAACAAAGGAGACTGAGGGAATTCATACTCGACAAGTCAAAATACTCAAAGGCACTTCACAGCGGATTTTCTCAGAATGAACAGTGAAACACAGACCAGAGGACACATGTGGAAACTAAAGGAAGTGCATTTAAAAGTTAGACTAAGAGGTGCTTCTATACAAAAAGATACGCAGGAGAGTGAAACAAACTATCTAGCCACGTGGTCAAAGATGATACTTTGGCTTCTTTCAAAAAACGACTTCATGAGATTCTCAGCTCAAATGACTCCTAACAACTTAACAGACTTATCAGTCCCAATGTCCTCCTCTCGTCTGTCATTTGTCTTACGTTATCCAGTGGAAATGACAGACCAGCCTGTGTGTACCCGCTGCAAGGCCGCACAATAGACAGAGACGCACCAGAAGCCATGGAGACCATACAAAGGAACAGCCTTAGAAATGTGCTCACCTGAATCCCAAATGCCACATTGTAGCTGCATGATTCATCGGCTCAAACAGCAACTAGCAAATCAAAACCTATGCGGAAGAACACAGTCCTTGTCCACTGTGAATAGTGTAGTTGTTGTGTTTTGTCTTGCCTGTAATCCTGATCAGAACTGATTTTTGCAGTGTTTAACCATGCTGTAGCTTAATGAGCAGGAGCGCAGTGTTTAACCGTGCTGTAGGTGAACGAGTTAACTACTTATAATTTATTCTACCCTATTCGAGACGCCTAATGTTCTTTTCTTTTTCCCACCCTGCATCATAACTACCCTAAGCACACACAAACTGACTTGTGCAGGGCGACCAGGGCCTCTCTGACACTATGAAGTTCAATGCCAAAGGTCATGGCCAGACGGTGAGCCAGGTCCCTCATAGCGCCAAACTCTGGGCTGACACTCATTGACGCAACCCCATGGTCCTGCACCAGCTCCGTGAACAACTGGGAGAGAGAGAGGAGAAAGAGACGATCACACACAAGCGCACTGTCACTGAGTAACTGACCAAGCCAGACAGGACGCAGACTCCACAAAGTCCAACACATAGCTCATACTTGCAGACACACAAGCGGAACAAACTCATTCTTCCACTGGGACAGGGAGCACAGACCTGTTGAAGGCTCAGACAAACAGTCTTGGCGCATTGCACACGGTTGATCAGTTTGGCTCTGCTTAGGGTCTCTTTGATGATGTCCCCAAAGTCCTTATAAAACTGCAGACACACAAACAGAGAAACTGAAATTTGCACATTGAGAAACTGGAACAGCGCATGTATTTGCTGCAATCAGCACCAAAATAACACTGCTTTAACCCCTTTGCTGCTCTCAAGGGATTCATATGTCTCTGACCTCAATGTTCCTACTGGTTTACATTTTACTGTGCAAGAACAACAAAAACAATAAGACAGATCTTTTACCCAGTGTTCACTGTGCTGGAGTGGGCAGGAGGAATAGAGCTGGCCTTTCTGACAAAGTCTGCCTGACAGACAGCTAACAGAAGTCCATTGGGGACTTCAGTTCAGCCTTGGTGGATAATGACACAAGGAGACTTAATTGTTTAAGTTCTTCAGTGGCCAAAAGCAAATGCAATAATTGTTCAGCACATGACTTCTCTGCTATTTAGCAGGACCTCTGTGTCATGGGAAGAGACTACATAGGCTTGGGGAATCAGACTGGGGACCCTTCCCCAGAAGGACCGACTCTTCAAGTCGCTAAGCACAGAGTAGCTTGGAATGGAGAAGGCCTACACGTCTGCTTTGATGCCAGCTGTCTCTTCCCCTTCCACTGCCTGCCCACACTCCTTGCCCACCCTTCGGTCCCTCCTTCTCTGCCCTCGGTTCTTCTTCTGCGGGTGCCTCCCCTCTCCCCACTCCTGTGCTCTCCTCCCCACACCTTGACGAAGTGCTTGAAGACATCGGTGGCTGCACTCAGGTCCAGCACGTTGTAGACGATCAATTTGCAGTATCCTGCCAGCTGGTTCCTGCGCCTGTGAAGATCCTCCATCTTCTCCAAGTCCTCCTCTTTATCTGGGAGAGATAGACATCAGGATTAAAGGGGAACTGCAAGGCTATTTTTACATTTTGGGGATATAAAGAATCAGCACTGATGAGTGCATTTCAAACCACAATAAAAGTAAAATGTACAGCTTCCAAAACTAAAATGTACAACACAAATCTAGATAGCCAAGTCCATGGCCCACAAAAACTACACCTCCCAGAAATCCACGGTTCTGCTTCCTTGGGTCCTGCAGGTCCCACCCAGCCTTTTTATAAGATTCAGTGTTTGTTCAATCATGTTATTGTTTTTCATTTCAATCTTACAGGTGTTCATGAGAAATTTAAAACGAGTCAAACTTTCCCTAAATAACAACAGACTGAGTTAAAGAACTCGATGTACACAATGTTTATGAAGAAAGTGGAATACTGTTTTGTCCCTACTGTATTGTTTCTTCAGACCACATGTAACATGTTATTTTTGCTTCTGTGACAAGCACACATATATTCATACAAGAAACACTATATCATAGCTGTTCTTGCTAACTGCATATCTTTATCAAAATTTACACTAATTTCATTGTGGTTATTCTATATCAAATTTTTTTAGCTACCACTACATTATATTTATATTCAGAAAGTAATATTGTTAATAAGTCCAAAATGTTATTAATTTTATTTTCAGCTACAAAAATCTTTTTAATTATGATGCTATATTAAGTGGATTTGAAGAAGGTGGCTTCCAGTACATGAATGCTACAGTACTGTTCTTCAAAGTATCATACTGTACATAGTGGGCTAATGTGAGAGTTTTCAATCTAATAAATCCAGGCTCCACTCATTGTATGTAAACCCCTTTTCAGGGGAAAAAAACTTAACAGCCACACTACACTTTAAAACAGTAAGTGATTATTAGACTAGGAATTAAATGAAGTTGTTTCAGCAACACCTAAAGCATTACAAGTCACTGAGCAGCACGCCACACAGTATATATACTGTAGTGTGCTCTCCATTGGTGTGAAACATAACGCAAATTCTAGATGGCTGCATCTCCAGGTACCCAGGAAGTGACAAGTTTCTAACCTGCCAGAACCCAAGCGAGCCCAGGCAGAGTCACCCTGTTCACTCTGTGCCTCCACTTAGGGAATCCTGGTCACATCTACAAGTCGCATCTCAGGCCTAAACCCGCGCTTAATGGGAGCCAGGGCCAGGGAGCTCAACCTGCCCTCAGAGTCTGTCTTTAATAGTTGAGCCACTCGGGAGCCTGACACGCCTTTCACACTCTAGTTATGGCCTCCTGCCTCACACAGCCTTTTCCACCTTCCCCCTTCTCACCATCCACTTCCTCCTCCACAAACACGTAGTCCATGACGAAGCTGGCCATCTCCAGGCGGAGAGCGTCTGGGGGCAGGAAGACCACTGTCTGCAGGTCATCCCGGCCTTTGGCCAATTTAGGACTGAGGATTATGAGGAAGTCGCACAGCAGGAGAAATGCCTGGTCATAGGACAGAGAAACGGATGTGGTCAGTCTGACAGAACACAAAAAAGACAGCCAGTCAGAGGGAGGATAGAGACATGGACAAGACAGAATGAAAGAGAAGACTCAGATCAGGTCCTAACTGTACCTGGTCTCTGATTTCTTTCTTGATCATCGACAGGCAGCTCTGAAACACGGCAATCAGACCCTTCGTGTGCTGCTTTAACTGGCTGAGCTGTGCCTGTCGGAGAAGAGATGGTCAGGAGCTCTCTGTGATGGAAACCTAGTACTTTTTGCAAAGCCAGTTCAAACAATCTGAAGTGTAAGTGTAAGACGCGTGTGCGAGGCACCGGATCCGACATCCCACAGTCCCGGTCTCCTACCTTACTGGGCTGGGAGTTCACAACCCTGACCAGCTCCCACATCACGTGGAGAAAGGCGCTCTTCAGCGCAGGCACCATGACCTGAAACACAGCACGCTCCCGTCACATATACAGCCCTCCGTGATCCACCGCCATTCCCAGCATACCATGATGGAGATGAGGAAAAAAAAATACTTTTACGCTTTTAAAATACAGTTAAGCCACATAACGATGCTCTGTTCTGCCTCCAGGTCAGCTGTCGTCTTTGTGTGGTTGGAGCGTGTCTCTGTGCGCCTCACCTCCTGTGTGTTGGTAGCTTGGGTGTCTGTAGAGCAGGAACTGCAACGTGCCCCATGTAACATTCAACACGTCAGCTGGGAGTGGAGCAACGCGTACAAGTGTCTTTACCTCCATCACAGTGTGTCCGCTCTGCACGCCGTGATTCAGAATCTGGTAACAGGGGTCGAACAGCTCCCAGCGTGTCAGGTCCTTGGCGCTGTAGTGTAGACACACAGAGCGACAGAAACCCAGCTGTAGCAGTACACTCCACAAGTCATCAGCGCGTGCAGTCAAGGACAGCTACCATGTTTACACACGGGCAAAAAACTACCTCAAAACAACCCAGCTTTCACAGCTAGAAAAAGTGCTGGGCCAAAATCAAAAAACACAAATGCTCAGCAACTGCATTCATCACAAGGGGGCACTGAAACAGGCAAGACAACTCTGACAGCCCAAGGCCTGGATTAAGCACAGCTTTAAACCCATCCTCCATTCACAAATCACAAGGGTTTCTTGTGTGCGATTCTAACTCGCAGCCAGTAGATGGCTTGGCAGTTCACTTAATCCAGGTTTAGGTGTGACCTGACAGTGCTACACTGGTGTGTCAAACTGACTTGTAGAGAGCAGCGATCCTCTTCAGATTGGCGACTGCACCATATTGCTCATCTTCATCTAGTGTGCCCTGACAAAGAAGACAAAGCAATAACAGCCAGATTCATCTTAACAAAACTGCACTGGCTAAAAATGCTATTAAGCCATGACAAAATGAAACAGAACACTTTAATTTGAATTCTCAGTGTAACAAAACTTTAGCACTACTGCTGTATATCTGACCAGGTGGCGAGGAGCTCGGCTCCACCTGTATCTCTCCTCTGACCGGCTGGGCCTGTGGTTTTGGTTTCATACCTGCAGCAGGTCTTCCACAGTCGTGGTGAAGCGGTCCACTAGCCCCTCCACCAGCTGGCTGAGTGCCACGTTGCTGCGCCCTGCGAAGGTGTAGCAGTCGCTGCACAGCTCGGAGAACACGCGAGCACACGCATCCAGCACACCGTCATTCGTGTGTTTCTCCGCGATCATGCTGACCTGATCCAGGAGCAGCTCCAGGTACTAAGAGAGATGAGGGGAGCCCAGAACAAGTCTTGACACAGGCAGAGGGAGGATGGGTAGGGACACAGGCATGAAGGGAGCAGAACAGGGCTGAAGAGCAGAGGGATAGAAGAGTGAACAGAAGGCGTGGAAGGGAGACAGGACAGGAGAAACAGTGCTGAAAGATGGAGACAGAGAAAGTAATGAACTGGCAAGATCTGCTAGATTTCTAGGGGATGGGAGTGTGAAGACCAGAGAACGGTGTTTCACCTTCTCCAGCCGGCCAGTGCAGTAGATGTCCATGTTAAAGTGCAGAGGAGTCTGCAGCAGGCAGGTCACCTTCTCCACGTCTGCGGAGTACTGAGACGCAAACACACAAGAACTCTTTACATTTTACAAGGCAATGAAATACAGCATTTCAACCCATCTGCCATTCCACAAAAAGCAAAGCTTCCAAATGGTGCAAGAGTCACACGATTACAAACCTAACAGAAAACAAATGGAAACTCCTAAATCCTATATATGAGTCACACTTCTTTGTAGCTCCTTTTTAAAGTGTCTATTTAAACCTAACACGATTTAAGATTTTAGCATCGCTGTTTATAAAGGGGCTGCTCATTGTCAGATGGCCTCTGGCCAGCTGATTCCTTGCTGCTGTGCTCCAGACAGTGGGACTGAGAGTCACAGACCTTGGCCAGGAGCTGTGGAAGCACTATGATGAAATGGCCTGTCAGCCGTATCCGGTCCTGGGCCCGTGTTTTCTTTTCCTTTGCAGTCTGGACCTGGGAGAGAGAGACTGTGAGCTGCACAGCACACGAGAGGGTTACAGATGGACACAGAGAGCGAGAAGGAAAAACTAGTGGTAGTGCTCGTGTATCCGAGGAAACAGTGAAGGGAAGAGAGGGCAGAGAATACTACACCTGGTATCATTCTCAATCCGTATGTTCCAGCAGAGGATTCTGTAGTAGTATGTTTTCCTTTACAGGATTTTTATTCCAATTACCTTATTTCTCCTTTTCATCATGTCATTCAGTCCCAACCCACTCAGTCCTTTTCTGCCACGGCCCTTTGCCCTCTGTGCTCTGCTAACCCTGCTCAGCGTCATTTCTCTCTACATCCAGGTTCTCACTGACCTTTTTTAAGGGTTTGCACAGCAGCACACAGCATTGTCTTCTGTCCTCTCTGCTGCTCACCTCCCCTGTCATTCTGTGTTTCATTTCCTCTCACCCTCCACTGCTCTCAGGCATCACGACAAATCCCTTGCTCACCCTCCCCTGGCTTCGCTCCTTCTCTCCCTCTCCTGCTCACTCCCTCCCCCCCCTCACTCTCGCTCACCCTCTTGCCAGATACTCTGCCAATGGGAGGCTGGCCCTCTGCTGCCTGTTTAACTGCACACACCATCAGTTCAATCAGGGCACTTTCCTCCTCATCTCCCAGACCTGCAGGTGAAGACACAACACAGGTCAAGGGACAGGAAATGAATACCCCTGCCTGCTAACACCAAGGCCTTCAAGATGTTACAGTATTTAAACTCCTAAGTCAGTACAGGGGAGCCCTGGTCCAGTTATTACAGGGGTCCCAACCCTGGTCCCATCAGTATTGCGGTCCTGTTAATACTGTGGTCCCCCAGCCCTGGACAAAGGCGAGACAAACCACTTGTTTCAGTGCACTGCACAGAGGCCACTGTGTGCACTGCATGGAGAAGGCACTTCTTCCTCTAGACCCAGCTCAGCCCAGAACCTCTCCTTCTCACCCTCCTCTTCTCCCGGCCTCCCCAGCAGCAGTTCAGTCATGGTCTGCCAGTCCTTCAGCTCTGCGCTAGCACTGTCCCACAGGCTGTCCACCAGGTAGGCGCCGTGCTCATGGAGCTAAGACAGAGGAGAGGCACTCAGGAAAGGGGCTTGGGCAAAGACACATGCGACCAGATCTAGGGAAGCAGCGAACAGGGGCACGCTCACAACAGTATAGCAGAAGGGCAGGAAAGGCACAGATACCTCAGTCTGGATGTAGAAGGAGAGCAGCAGTTTGATGATGGCCATTCTGCGATTGTCCACCTCCATCCTCTCGCTGTCTCCCTCCACCTTGCTGCACAGCCTGCGAGAGCACAGCAAAACAGCACACTGTTCAGAGCCAAGATGAATCTAATCCCACCCTGGCGAAGAATGAAATGAAAAAGAAAGGGTAGCATTGGGGAGGTGAACCTGAGAGACAGACAGTGTGAGAGAGAGATAAGTGTGACCTGTTGTAGAGGAAGGTCCCAGCAGCTGAGGCCAGGCCTCTGTGAGAGCTGAAGACCAGGAGGTAAACATTATCACAGTCCTCTTGTGTCAGCACATCCTCGGTGTTTCTGTACAGGACACAGACCGGACAAGGAATAAACTCTCAAGTCACAATTACACAAGGTTTTGCTATACTGTACATGAAAGAAATGTTGTCCCGGGTCCCGGGTGACGGTCAAAGAGACCTAGAAGCACAGGGCTTAAGAACCGAGAATGAACAGAGGGCAGTGGGTTTAGACAAGATGAAGTCTTGTCAGAACCACATTCCCCACACGATTGTGGAATTGCCTGCTGTCCTCAGTCACCTGATTAGTTGGTGGAAGACAATATGCCAGGTGACATTTAAAGCCAGGAAACTGAGGCTCCCTGTACTGGAAACCACAACTTCCTGGTTTTAAATGTCACTTGATTAAATGCAACAATTCTTGCTGTTTGGACCCTTGCTCTTTTTTACATTTGTCATCCCTTCTTTCACAAAAAAGAGTCCCTGTGCTGTCAGACTAGTAAGGGTATTTTGAATGACTTGTTTTTAAACGTAATGAGGACAAGCCCTCCTACAGTAGTTTGTACACCCTTCACTCTGCGGTGCAGACACTCACTGTTGGATGAGAACTAGCAGATGCACAGCCTCCACTGCAGCTTCTACCTCCTTGTCCAGCACCATGGACAATATCCGCTCCTGTTGACAGAAACAGCACAGCGCTGTCAACAGAAAGACACACTGCCATAGGGTCACACTGCCAGCACAGAGAGACGGGACACACTGCCACAGAGGCACAGAGAGACGGAGTCCACTCTTACAGATGCAGAAGGACACACTCAAGTTTCCACTCCGGTAACAGGCTGACCTTGAACCTGTTAGTGAAGAGTTCCAGCCTGCCAATGAAGTCCTTCTCGCTGTACAGACCCTGCAGCGCCTTCAGGCACTTCAGCCTCACAGCACCTTGCTACGAAGACAAACGCAAGACCCAGAACTCAGAAGACTCAGTCATTAACCGCAGAGATGAAGTGTCTGAAGGGTTGTTATGTATTCATTCAACTTTCATCTGCCTTCTCAGAGCTGCTGTAGGGACGTACCTTGTCGTGCAGAGTCCAGCCGAGGTATTTCAGGTATCCATCGTTCAGGAAGCTCTCGCTGTGAATTTTCATCCACAGCCCAATCTCCTCCATACACAGGGCTCTAATCTCAGGAAGTATGTCCCTGTGCACAACACAGACATGCAGAGCTAAAACGCGACACTTCACTCATGACCCTGTGGCATGTCAACAAATACACACAAGTGCAAATGTGTGTGTGTTTGTTGACATGGGGTGAAAGCAGAATCACAATAAATACTTCTGTGATTTTCACATTTTCACCATGACTTCTCCTCCTCACCTGTCCTCTGTACTCCTTTTGATCATGATCTGATCTCAGATCTGGTCGCAGGCACAACGCTATCTGTGTGTACGCACATACACGCACACCTAGACGTGCACCTAGGGTGAAAATTCTCCCATCAGGCATTTTTCCCCCACTCTTTTCACTGAACATTAGTGATAAAAGCAAACTTAAAATAAAAGCATAACGCTGCAAAGAGGAGGCTACTAAGCCCATCTTACTTGTTTGGTAGTTTAGTAGCTGAATCAAGTTTTGCTCTGCAGTTTCTAGAAGAAGCCCAGAATTAGGGGTTCAAACTCCTGGCAGGAAAGACTTCCAGTTACACACAATTCTTTTTCTCTTTGCTCAATGCATGCCCTTTAATTTCCAATGGCGAGTTATAACATTCTCTGGGTTGACATCTATACCATGTAGGATCTTATATACTTGAATTAGATTTCCTAAGATGAACTTAGACTGAAGAGTTTCAGTTCCTTTAACCCATCTGCATGTGGCGATCCCTAAAACAAGGAAGCATTCTTTTTGTATAGTTCTTTTACAAAACAGCATAGTATGCCATTACAACTGAACGCAGCATTCAGCGAGCTCCTACTAGTGCATTACAACATCCCCACGCTGGCTGGCCGGGGGCACTGAGGAATCTACATAACCACCCAGTGTACAGTAGCTGCGAGGGGGCCTGCATGAGGCAGCACACATGGCATGAAGGTGCCTGAGAGCAGGCAGCACAAAGACCACTTCGATCGAGCAAATCCCCTCAGAAAAGAGAGCGAGTGCTCTCGCAGCCTGACAGCAGCACCTCTCCCTGGGCCCCGGTGCCTGCTCACACCCGATCGAACACACTCTCACCCCTCTGCAGACGGCTCCAGACGGCCGCTTCTCATGCCCTTGATCTATTCCACCCCTGTCCTATGCAAACACTGCAATTTGCACTAACCCTTCAACTCAAATAATGTGGTTCACATGGATGTCACTTTACCACATCAACCAGACTCCCTTTTCAGATAGATGCACACTTTACTGAACACTAATCCACCCTAACAAGAAGAATATTTACAACACACCAGAGCAGACTGTTCGGAAGACTGTCAAGCAACAGGAATTGAGCAAAGTACAATGTCTACATGTCTTGCATTAGAAAGAACTGAAACAAGAACTAAAGGACACAAGGGGAAACTACAGAAAGTACACTTAAAACCAAGAACCGGACTTTTCTGGAGGAAGTCTAGAACAAACTTCACAGCCATGTTCATGAAGCTGATACCTTGGTTTTCTTCAGGAAAACAGCTGGATGAGATCCTGGGGTAAATTATTAACTACCACACAAGCTAGATAAAGCAAAAGCCTCCTCTTGTTTGTGACCTTTCCTATGAGACATCAACTATGGGAATCCCACAGCCCAGCACCACTGTTACCCCACTCAGTGCTGCCCTGGGCTCACCGGTATCGATGCACAAAGACGCCTTTGAAGATGGAATTTATCATGCTGTTCATCTCTTCCTGCTGTTCCTGTAGCTGCAAACCCACAAACAAGAATAAGAAATCAATTCTTTTCTGCTCATTTCATGTTTCAAATATGAAACAATGTGTTGCGTACAGCATTACCTCAGACTGTTTTTGTACAATATATTCCAGAACTTGTATTGTTGCGTGTTAGGGTGTCAGGTCACACTACCTCTGTGCACACCGCACTGGTGCCGCAGTGCCAGCCCCTCAGTAGTGAGCTCAGCGTCAGTCTCTCGGAGAGCGTGGAGTATCTCAGTGAGTGTGGTGCAGAGTGTACTGTGCTGGTACCTCGGCGAGTTTATCACGCAGTTCCTCCAGTTTGGCAGGGGCCTGACGCTGTAGCTCCTTTCCCAGTTCGGCCTCATACAGCCGCTGGCACGTCTCCCTCTGATACCCCACACCAAGAGACACCTCCACCAGGGCAGTCATCAGCTTCAGCACTGGCCAAAACAAGCACAGCACGAGCTCAGGCCACCAGCTGGGTCTGCCAGGACAGCTTCAGACCGTGAAACCCAGGCCCACTGAAGCACACATGCTCACAGGAGCACAGCTGCACCGCAGCACAGACACACAGGAGCACTGGAACACAAGTGCAGGCACACAGACATGAACATCTCTTCAGCAACATTAGTTAACACGTGGATAAGCTCATTTCCACTTGTGACACACAATACAGTGTAAACAAGAACGCAGCATTACTTTTCTGGAAAAGAGTAACAGATACAATACTAAAGAAGTACAGATAAATACTAACAAAAAGTGCAATTACACACATTAGACAAACATACCAGAGTGAAGCAAAAGGACACGAACATTTTTAGTGTAGAAGTGTCTTTGCGCAAAACTAAGGTTTTTAGGATTTCTAAAAGATTTGATTAAGTGGAGTCTCAATTTTACAGCAAATGAACCTTCTGAATGAATGAAGCAGTAAACCGTCGCCGATGGGGCAGCAGGAAGTGTGGTCTTGGGTCTGGCACTGCTCAGCTACTGACAGCAGGACAATGAGTGCCCCGATCCCATAGCACACACCCACACAACACCAGCTCACACGGAAGAAATCACAGCAGCGTAACCCATCTCCGGTTTCACAAACTACAGGCGAGGAGCATAAAGTAACAGCTGCTCCCTGCTTTCCGCCTGATGTGGTTTAAGAAATCCACACAGACTTGTCCTTTCAGCACGGTTCGTCCCCGAGATGGATCGCACTGGTCCTCCCCCGGCGCTCTCACCTATCAGTGTGCTGGTGTGCCGGAAGGCGCGCACCTGGGAGTCGGACATGCCTGTGAGCAGTGCGATCAGAGAGCTGAACAAGGTCTCGTCATACAGCAGGCTGTTCTGGCAGCGATGCACCAGCATGCTGAAGAACTCGCACAGGTTTACACGGAACTTCTTCCACTGCACCCCCGGGGAGCACAGGGGGTAGCTGCCCGAGTCCTGCCAGGGAACAGAGCAGTCGCGGAGAAATTGCTGGACGCACCACTTAACTGCACACATCTTTTTGACGGCCTCAGCACGGACCAAGGAAACGAAGCATTCCAGAGGGAAATACTGGGAAGACATACTGTATGAGCGGCTTTAAAAACACATTAACCCAAGCAACAGTCGCAGCCTCTTAAAATTACCTGCAACTGAGGCACAGCAGTAAGAACATAAGATCGTTCACACATGAGAGACTGCCATTCTGCCTCTCTATCACATTAGAAACGACGACTTCAACCACATTTCTGGGCAGCTTGTTCCACACTCCCACCACCCTCTATGCAAGTAAGTGCCTCCTGTCATGATCCTAGGATCTCTTGAAATAATTAAAGTAAGTAGCTGCGCCAGCATGCGTAGGCTGCATAAGAACAAGTAAATGTTTATTGCATGCAGAAAAGAGAGGAAAAAAAACATTTTGGCTGTGGAGCCTTCTGACAAACCTGAAGAAGACTCCACAGCCAAATTGTTTATCTTCGTTCCAGCACAGAATTAACCTTTACTTGTTCTCTTGAAATAACCCAGGGTTTCCAGCCCCCCCATCACCTTTTCTTTGTGTAAAGAAGTGCCTGGTGAATAACGCTGCGTTTTATACTAAAAACACAAGTAGAACCTTGAGAACACATGGCAGCCATCATGTAATTGGCTTGAAAATCCTGACTAGGTCTACCCAAGCCAGACTTAATATTTTTAGCATAAACCTGGCGGATTATGCAAGAACACTGAAGTAACACAAGCCAGGTCACTCGGACTCCTCACCTCATCAAACTCGCGGGTCAGTCTACTGATGATCTGGGCGTTCTGCATGTTGGCGAACATCTTCCTGTTCACCACTCCTGAAAGCAGCAAACATTGACATCAGTCCAGCAGGTCCACCAGATCTCAGCCCATCACCCTTCTCCTGAGACACTAGCCTGCTGGCGGCTCCCTGTGAGTGTCTACTGTGAGACCACAGTGTTTCAAATGAGCAAGCCGAGAGCACAGGGGTGTGCCAGATAAAACGTGCTAGGGGGGTCAACAGCATTTTTCAAATTGGCTACCAATGGTGAGGAGGAATTCTGCAAGGTGAGACTGCAGATCCTGATGAGGAAAGGGCAGAAATTCGTGATAGAAGTTTGCGACAGGTAAGCGCTACAAATGAAGTTGAGAATGACGGAAGAACAGAGATTAACCAGTGCCGCCGTGAAACCACACGAACATTCAACCAACCAGCTTTTGTCTGACAGCATTTTAATGGCATTTAGTTTTTTAATACAAGTTTCACAGCGGTGAAAAATGTAATGGCTGGATTAAGAGGATATTGGAGATCACTTGCATGTGCAATACTCTGTTAAATAATTTAATATGTTTTTGATCACAGTTAAAGTTAAAACCTTAGGGTACAGATACTGCTCTGAAACCCTGTTGTGAATTCCGTGAAGAGGTTAATGACTACCTTGCTGTATTTTCAGGTGTACAGTACTGAAAATGCGCAGTAAAAGACTAAGCAAAACAAATGGCTTAATTTCAAAATGGCAATGACAAATAAAATTCAATTGGAAATGGCTGATTCCATCATTTCTAGACTTCTGTGTGCTGGCAGCCAGTGCCAGTGGGGAGCCTGGGTTTCTGTGTCCACTGGAGAGCTCATTTGGGGCAGGGCACCAGTCCAGTCAACACCTCCTCATGCCCTCTGACCTTTGCATCCGCTGCACATCACAATGAAGTTAATGAGTTCCAGGAGCTCCGCCTCCTTGTCCTGCTTGTAACCCTCCAGGAAGTCATCAATCAGACTCTGGAAAGCACACAATGATCTGGAGTTAAAATTCAGCACAACAACAAAATTAAGTTCTGCAGATAAAGATGACATAAAAGAGCTTTTAACACTAGAAGTACATTTACAACGGTACCACTGAGATGCTGAAACCACAATAAACAGTAAAAATCGATTAATTAAGGTGATCCCAGAGGATCTAAATTGTCCCAGTCCCTTTTGGGAAAATCTTTTGATCTCCTGACATATTTACCCTATCCCGTTAGCGTCCACTGGTCCTAGCCGGGCTGGCCTAGTCTTGGCAGAGCTCCAAGATGTTGTGAAATATTAGGGTTGGAGGGCAGTAAATTGTCTGATAGCCCGGTAATCTGCCTAAATTCACTTAAGCAGCTGTAAAGTTGTATTTATATTTTTCTGCGCTCCCACAAGAGACACCCTCCCCACCACGTCCTGATTCAATCACGTTTCAGAGTGTCTGCACCCTTGAGATGGGGGAGGAAGGGTGCTGCCTCACCCTCATGGCGGTCCTGCCCCCCCTGACGGCCTCATACAGGTGTGCAGCAGTGACCTGCTGTGACCTGGTTTCACTAGCACGAGGGGGTGTCCTGTGAGCCTGAGCTGTGTTGCGCTGGGCTCTTTTGTGCACCTAGAAGAGAAGAGAGGAAAGAAGTCCAACAGTGGCAAGAGAGTCAGGGCAAAAGCCTCAGTTTCAAGTAAAGTGGCCTGTGTCTGCATGCAGGGCTCTCCGGTGTTCCCGTGTTTCTGTGTGTACGGGTGTGTGTGTGCTGGAGTCTGCAGG